CAGTGCCTTCCAGCCTTAAGATCATAGAGGGAAAAAATGGTAGTACACCTGGAAGTCTGAAAAAGAAGCTGTTGAAAGGGAGCTGAGTTCTTCGATCTGGCAGACAGGTGAGCAAGTCAAAGAGGTGCAGGAAGGAGAGAGCACATGAGACTTGCGAAGACTTTCCATCTGAGTAGTGGCTCAGCTGAGCAAGTTGGGGCAGGTGGGCTGCTGATCTCTCCTGGCAATATTTCTCTGATGATATGGAGAGCAGCACAGATGTTTCCACAGGCAATGTATTGAAGGTCATGTAACTGCAGACCATTTCTGGCCTGATTGTTGAGACTACCAAGGTCTCAACTACTGTGTTTTGTGTTTAATTTTACTTCTATTTTGTAAAGAAATAGATGGGATTTATGTTATTCGCTAGAATAATAATAGTAGTCAAGATAATGTCTTGGAGTCTTTAACCATATTTCACCTTGGTCGAACTTCCATTTGTCACACTCTCTTGAGAAATGCCTGCTTGCCCGTGTCTCAGTGGAGGCGATGCCAGCACCAGTTACTGCATGAGGAATAAGAAGGGTCAAGAAATGGAAGCCAGTTTATGCATTGCTTAGTCTTCTGAGAAGACTTCTTAGACTCTGTCATTTGCAAAATGGAGAAAGGCCCTCCTCTGCCTTATAAAGATATAAGGAATTACACCCGAGAGAGCAATATGAAATACCTTAAGCATAAAAACAAACAAAAGGAAATATTATTAAACAGAAGTCAAGGGATGTCATGAAATGGCACTGAGCCCAAGCGAAATCAGTAGATCCTATTAGGACTAGCTTCATCTAGCCATGCTGCCTGTACATTCTCTTCATGAATTTAGATAATAACATCTCCCTTGCTTCTTCATGGTTATTTTATGTTGGGGGAAATGTATTAAAATTCTCAAAACCTTGTTTTAGACATTGAAAGTAATACAAATATTGCTAAAAATTTCACTCTTGGACTTTAATGAGACAATGTGTAATCAGTGAGATCAGACATAAATGTAATGAGTTACATGCAATAGAGGCTAGGCAAAAAACCACAGGATACAGAAAGAAAAAATACACTGAAGTTCAAAGGAAAGAGAGGTTACACCAAGCTGGTGGGAACAGATAAATGGACAGTGACTTATTTGCGGGGGATAGTTGCTTAAAGTTGTGATTGTAGCAGAGGGATAACAGGTTACCCTGCTTGACCCAGATTAGAGGAAAGAAATCAGATAAAGTAGGTGATGCTATCACAACACAATGTCTGACATACAAATATGCAAAAAAGAAAAAAGCAATACTATAGTATACACACAGTTAAGTTCATTTTAGGAAACGTGGAAGATGCAAATATCTTGTTTGAGACCTCAGAAGTGAATGACAGCAGAGAAAATTACAACTAAAGGATCCTGACAGCAATCCCAGCTTTCGATATTTCACAAAAGTAAATCCTTTGTACAAGTGTATGTGAATGTTGAGCACGATTGGTAAATGAGCAAGTAGATCCTTTCTAACGTGTACCTGATCAGAGGGCACAATGAAAAGCCAGTGAGCGAATGAACCGTTTCTACACATATATGTGAAAGTAGGGTACAATGAGCAGTAAATAAGTGGGTAAATCCTTTCCATGGGTGTACCTGAGCATAGGGCACAGTGAGGGGTGAATGAATGAGTAAATTCTTTCTATATATGTCTGAGCATACAGTATAATGAGTGGGAAATGAGTGAGTCAACCCTTCCTTTTTTTTTTTTTTTTTGACATTTGGGTTGATGTATATGTGTGTTTTCTAGTTTGCAGTCATGATGTATTCTCTGTTGATTCTATTCTCTTGGCAAGGAAACCCTTTCTACACGTGTATGTGAGCACAGAACACAATAAGTGGTAAATGAGTAACACCTTTCTACATGTGTTTGTGAACATAGGACACAATGAGTGTAAATAAGCAAGTAAACTTTTTCTACACGTGTATGTGAGCATAGGGCACAATGAGTAGTGAATGAGCAAGTAAACCCTTCCTACACGTAGATGTGAGCATTAAGTACAATGAATGGTAAATCAGTGAGTAAACCTTTTGTACCTGCGGACATGAGCATAGAACGTAATGAGTGATAAATGAGTGTATGTGAGCACACAGCACAATGGTGAATGAGTGAGTCCACACTTTCTACAGGTGTACATCAGCATAGGGCACAATGAGTGGCAAATGAGTAAACACTTTGTACATGTGTACATGAACACAGGGCATAATGAGTGGGAAGTGACTGAGTAAGCACTTTCTAATTGAGTATAGGACACAATGAGTGGTAACTGAGTGAGTGAACCCTTTCTACACATGTACCTGAGCATTGAGAATAATGAGTGGTGAATGAGCAAGTACACCCTTCCTTCCTACTTTGGTCCGTGATCATAGGGCACAATGAGTGGTGAATGAGCAAGGAACCCCTTTCTACATGTATACATGAACGTAGGGCATAATGAGTGGCAAATAAGTAGTAAGCACTTTCTACAAGTGTACATGAGCGTAGAGCACAATGGGTAGTAAATGAGTCAACACTTCGTACACGTGTCTGTGAGCATAGGGCACCATGAGTTGAAAATGGGTGAACAAACCCTTCCTGCATGCGTATGTAATCATACACATCAGTGGCAAATGAGTGAGTAAACACTTTCTACACGTGTGTGCGAGCATAAATAAAAGGAGCAGTACATCAGTGAGCTAAACCTTTGTGCATGTGTCCATGAGCATAAGATACAACCAGTGGTAAATGAGTGACTAAACCATTTCTACACAATACATGCACATAGAGCACAATAAGCGAGTATACCCTTTCTACATGTGTATGTGAGCCTAGAGCACAATGAGTAGTGAGTGAGCAAGTAAGCCTTTTCTACTATGTGAGTATAAGGCATAATGGGTGGCCAAAATTTACTTGTTACCAAAAACAATTTTTAATTTCTTTAGAGTAGACCATGGCATGTTTGATAAACTGTAATGTTGTTAGGCAAATAGCATAAATTTGAATGAAAAGGACTATTCTGGTTACTTGTTAAAATTACACAGGACAAATTATAGCATTTTAGATTATCAGATTTCACTGTCTTAATGTCTCTGGGGTGACAAATATAAAATAGTGCATATCTCTTTATTCAAGGCATAAATAAAAACACAGAAAGATGGAAAACATCAGTTTAATGGCAATACAGATTTGCTTTAGAATTTGCTGTGTAAGAAAACAAATCTATAACTGTTCTGTCAGAAATAAATTTTATTTAATTAAAAAATGCTAATAAATGCATGTGCTTAGAGTGGATGAATGATTACAATCTGAAAAATAAGTACTATGTTGCAATAGTGTATTTCATATCTGAAGACAGTTCAAAATTTTAGTATCCTCAGAATATTCTTTACACTATATGTTTGAGTTTCTTTCCAGTTATAATACTCACGTAAATTATGCTTTAACTTGCATTTGTTGAATCTATTATGATGGGAAATGTTGGGTGAAAATGGAGCTGCTGTTCCCTTAATAGCTTATAGGGATGATGGGGTCAGGTATTCCCCATGAAGGAGTGGTTAATTGAGAAAGGGGCAATGTAAAACAAGGCGCATTTTCAGCAAATTTGAGCCAGTCTGCAGTGCCTGTGCTTAAAGGAAACCACTAATTTGCAAAATATTTTTTAAGTGAATTATTTTATCAAGTTTCATTGCTTTCATCATTTTTAAACCTTTATTTTTGTGCTTGTCATAGTTTTTGTCAAACAGATTGTATTTAGAGAACCATCTAATATTTTCGTTTTCTTTTATTTTTTGCATCACATGAATCCCTATCAGGAGTTTCTCTTCAAAAGATAATGAGAATACATGTTCAATTTTGGACAGCCCTGATACTAGTGTGGTTCTGCAGATTGTTCATATTTTCCTGGCCTGATCTTGGTACTTGGAGCTGCACACAGGCTGAGCTATCACTTTTGCATTCTTTGGGCTTGTCACTCTGTCTCCATAAAGGAGCAGTCTCCAGAGAACGACCACTAACCCCTGGGTCATCCGGTTTCCTTGAGGAGATACTGTGCTAAATATTCAGCCCATCTATCAAAAAAGGCAAATCAGTGACAACACGACGGAAAAACAGTCGTGTGTGTCTCCTAATTGGCTGCATCAGAAACCCTGAAATTTACTCTACACACATCAGTTTTTTGAGACCCAGGGCTCTGCCGCAATCTTTGTTGTTGCCAGTTTGGACCCAAACGTGATTTAGGCGAAATAGTCACAAAGATCAAATTCCCCAATTCTTACGCCCTTCAAATATTTTTAGCCCTTGTCCAACTGGGGGTGGGGGAAGAAATGCTTGAAGGCTTATCATATTAATAAATGTATTCAGGGTGTCATTTGTAGCTACAAGCATGTTGGATAAAATAGATGAAGAAAAATGCAAACAGACAGTTTTAATTTCTTCCCCGAAATAGCTGTTTCAAGAATTTCCAATTCTTGATAGCACTAACTCTTCCTCTGATTTCAAGGATAAAAAAGGAAAAAGATCTTACTCCCTGGAACATGACCCCCCCCCCCCCCACTGAAGCCTGCTGCTCTCAGTTCCTGTTATAGCTGCTGTGGTATTCCAGTAGGAAAAAAAGAGAGAGAGAGAGAGAGAGAGAGAGAGAGGTGTGTTCTTAGGTACCAACACAGGAACAACCAAGTGATCACAGGAAGTGCTCCTCAAGGAATGACTTGAGGGAAAAGTATCTGCATTGGTTCCTCACAGTGTTCCCAGCCTTGGGATGGCATTGTTTGAAACAGACAAAACAAACACCACCGACTTCCTGGGACTGAAATCCTTTGTATGTGTTGTTATTTGCAGTGCATGCCAAGACATTCATGAGCACCAGAGCCAAGCTGGCGAGCTAATTAAATATATATGTGTATATGTTTAAAACAACCTAATAAGGAGCATTGGAAATCTTCAAGATGAGCGAATATCTTATAACTTCTTCCGCAGGTGCGAGGATAGCTACAAGCCATGGACTTTCTGTCCTGCTTCTTGTTTGTGGCTTTGTGAAGGGTGCTTTGCTTTAATCTAAAGTGCTGACTTTTTTCCAATATCACTTTCTCTTCTTAAAGCAAAGAGCAAATCGCCTGTAAAATCTACGGAGCGGACAGCAAAGTTGACCCTAAACTCCAAGCACCACCCTGCACCCACTCTACTATAATTAACTACACAAGGAGCGCCTGCTTCCGGACGCATAAATGAAGAGGCTATCACACGCTTTGTTGATAATATTTTCTTTGGCAAATCACTGATCCTTTATTTCAAGAGAATTAGTGTGAAGTGATAGGACATTTTCTAATAGCAAGATCTATTTTTTTCCTTTTCTTTCGACGACTGAAATCATCATCTCACTGACTGCTCAGGGGTTGGCCAGAACGTCATCAGTAGAGTAGATGTTTTACTGTGGATACTCCTAGTTTCATACTAAAGACTCATTATCTGCAGGAAGCAAACAGAGATTAAAAAGCTACAACACACAAACTATCATCAAACAAAACCCCCCTTTAGGGGCAAGAACAAAATTATCAACATTGAAAGTCAACAAGGAGGACGTTATTTTAAATATGGAATACTATAAGAATTTTTTTAATTTTCCCTTTTTTCTTGGATTTTTCTTCTTTTTCTTGATTACAGTTCTTGTTCAATAGTGGCAAGTACTGATATTGGCCAATCCTTGTCAATCCTGGGAGATTTATATAAATACATTTTGAGTGTTCTATATTTCAATGTATTTTGATTCATTTCACAATTCTTGTATATGCAAACTTGACAAATTCTGTAAATTGCTTATAGTATGTGTGCTATAACTTCAAAGTAGATGTACTATGACCCTCATGCAAGCTGATTTTTATCATTATATCTATAAATATATACTTATGAATACCTATGTGTTGGGTCACTGACCAACTTTTTTCACCACACATTTGTTTTTCATGTATAATCCATGCATTGTGTGAACTTTGCGATGCATCATTTCACTTCCACGGGTTGGACAGCTGCAGACGGTCTTTGTTGTCCTCTGCTTCCTTCTGGAAAATGCGTATTCAAAACTGTAGTCTCTCATATATGAATTAATTTTGTTGTGTATGTGCTATGTTGGAATTTGCTATGTTTCTTTATACATGGTATTCACTGAGATTTGAGAGTCTTAACTCTGAAGAATGTACACTTTCTGGGTTTGGAAGCTACCCCTGTATTATTATCATTATGATTGTTGTTGAAAAGGAATTTTGCTTCTAGAAAATTTACCTTGAAGGTGAATGAGAAGAAGGTGAAACACTCACCATAATCCCCTAAATTTATGGAAGAACACACTTCTTGCTGTGGCTAAAAATGCTGCTTCCTTTGACCTTATGAATTTTTGTAACTTGTCATTCTGTTATTTGCTGCTAACTATATTTTAATGTCTCCTACTTAAAATTAAAATTTGACTGTTGGCTGAGTACAGTATGCAAAAGATGGCTGGAAATTCCTAACTAAAGCAGTGTGTTCAGTCCGTCTTAGCTAGGTGAATTATAATTTCAAACAGTCCATTCTTATTTTTTAGCTTTAGGATCATTTAAATTCTTTTATTTAGAACTTTTTCCCCACTTTGTCAAAAAAAAAAATAGAACTATAAATGTGTTTCTTACTATGAAATAGATTTAGCTTAAGAAATAAATGACCTAAGCTTGCCTTCCAGAAAGATTTTTCCATTTGCTTTTGCTACAAAGCCAGAAGGTCACCTATGCGGGACTGTCAGCCCCCAACCCAAGTTCCTAAACTGAAACCTGAAGGCAATGAGTACCTCTGCTTTTCAAAGGTAAATGTGTTAATTTCCTATGAGTCGGTTATAAGCAGTGTGCATATTTTTACAGTATTCTTGACATTACCTGAGAAATATTTTTCATGCTAAATCTTTTATTGCCATTTTTCTTGTTCATTTGGCTCATTATTTCAGTCTAATGAAAAAAATAAAAGTTTTGATTGCACTATTTTATTAACCTAGAAATGTATTTTCTTTCAAAATTTAATACTTAAAAATTAAGCATAAAACAATGGCAAGATAAATATAATCTATTAAATCTATCTGGGACTTAAAGATTACATACATCAAAGCTTGAATGAATATACTGTTCCAAATTTGGTCAACCTGGGGAAAATCCACTGTGTAATGTACCCCAAGTTTGGGTCATGAGATTGGTCAGTTCTAAAGCAAGACAGACTGGTACCTATATCGACAGTGTTTCCCATACTCTTCATAAAGGACACATATTAGTTTGGAAAGAGTCTCACTAGACTGTGTCAGGGTTCAAAATAATGAAGATTTATTTCTCACTGTGCTACCAAGAGTCCAACTTGCTGGTCACTTTGAGGAAAAACATAGTATATTATTTGCTCCAAATTCAAAAGGTTAATGTGAAATCTTAAATATTGGAGCAGAAACCATAGCAAATTAAGGAGACCTTCTAGAGGTTTTCAGCTTATGTTATATCTCTCTGGGACTATAACTCTGTTTGTAGACATGACTATGAAAATGAATAAAGATTGAAAAATAAGTTACCATAGAGTTTTGACCTTGTTTCCATGGTTATGTAATATCTATCATAAGAAATTGCTTAATGGAATTAAAGTTGAATACTTGTGCTCTGTCTTCAAGATTTACAGATTGCTTACTTATTAATAAAACAATGTAAGTGAAAACACATGAGGGTAAAATAAGATAAAAATTATCTAAAGCGAAGTTGTTAACCAGGGTTAGTACATAAGCTTGGTGGAATTCATGAACTCACTGAAATTACACGTATATTTTTACACATGTGTATTCGCTTTATGAGATATGCATATATGTATTCATTGATTCTGAGTGATTTACTTTGATTTGCTGGCCTGAGAAAAGAATGCTTAGATGATTTTGAGCACTCAAGTAAACCTGATTATTATAATTTTGAACTGTTTTGCCTTGAAGTTCTTGGATCCAAGACATATTTAAGAAAATGTATTAAGTCAGTCTCTCTCTCTCTCTCTCTCTCTCTCTCT